CGCAACAATGATTTAGATATCACTCCTTATCTTTAATAACCAAATAAGTTTGTTTATTTTTTCAACAATTTTGATACTGCTTTGCCATTATTACTGGCTTAAATTTGAAAATATAATCTTGCATGTTATAGCACTGTCCATGAACAGTCACAGTCAAACCAAACATGCAACATTTTCAATTTTCCTGTTTTGGCGTTATTTATCTATTCTCTATTCTAACAGAAAGATGTAAATGAGCCAGCTTACATTAGATCAGGGATTCAACTCAATTGTTCGCTAGAGCCTTAACTGAAAACACGATCATTACATTGAGTTACATATATACATGTATATAATAATGATGGCAATTACTATTTTCATTTGTCATTTAATCACGAGCTCGTTGATTGTACCGAGTGAACTTCATTATACAACTTTATAATCCATTTCTCATCTATCTCATTTAAATAATGACCGTATTCAACATTTATTATACAAAAACTAGAGGCACCACGGAAGCTAATTATGGGAGTTTCCTAAAACACAAACAACTACTGTAAGGTTTTTAACCCCAATAAAAAAAAATAAAACTCTGCTATAAAATAGTTTATTGGTTAATCATTTCAGAATTTGTGCCGGATATAAAGCGCAATTTTCCAGCTGTTGTTTCTATGTTTTAAGCTAATTATTTTAAATGCACTTTCAAAAGTCCATTTTATTTAGTTCCGCCCATTGTTTTCTTGTTTAGGTCACAAGCATCCTTTTAATTGTGCCGATTTTCATGGAATGGCACTACTGTGTCACATTAAAGGTTCCATGATAACAGCCTTATGAACACATTTACAGATGTTTCTAAATTGAAAATTTCACCATTTTCGTGTTGAATATTGAATTTTGCTAAGCAGGTGCTAGGGGGCGTGGACGGTAACTTGCACTTTGCATTGCCGTCCATGAACAGGCTCAATCCAACGGAACCTGTAACATTTTCAATTTTGACGTGTTAGACTTTCTTAAGGGATTCTGTTTTCACTATTGTTTTTAACATAACCTTCGATTCCATTATGATATTAAGAACATTTGTTGTAGAAAATAACAGCCAAGTGTAAATCCATCCGTTAAGTATGCAGTTGTGAGTTTGTTTGCTAAGAGGTGAGTTTGCTAAAAGATGAATTAATTTTTGCATATGATTTTATACAGTTAAATGTTAACATCATCTCAATTGTTTTGTTAAAGTATTGTTTGTGGTGTATTACAGTGCACGTTCAAACTCGTCCATTTCTTTTCTTTTGCTAATGTGTTCAGTAACACACATACAACAAGAGGGCCATGATGGCCCTGAGGTCGCTCACCTGTATATAGCCCCCCCCCCCCCGGGCAAAGGGCTTTTATTTGAACAGACTTGGTAGACACCCATAAGAAGATGTTTCATGCTAAACATCTAAGTTCTAGCTCATTGGGTTTTTTAAAAGAAGATTTTTAAGTTTTTACTATACACATATAGTTAAAAACAATGACACCCCTGGGGCAGGGCCAGTTTTGACCCCTGGGCTTTTATTTGAACAAACTTTGTAGATATTTACTTAAAGATGTTTCATGTATAATATCTAAACTCAAGCTATTTGGGTTTTTTCAAAGAAGATTTTTAAGTTTTTGCTATACACATATAAGGAAAATCAATGACCCCCGGGGCAGGGCCAGTTTTGACCCCAGGGCTTTTATTTGAACAAACTTGGTAGACACCCATTAGAACATGTTTCATGCTAAATATCTTAGCTCTAGCTCTTTGAGATCTTTAAAAGAAGATTTTTTAAGTTTTTACTATATGCATATAGGGAAAATCGATGACCCCCTGGGGCGGGGCCAATTTTGACCCAAGGGCTTTTATTTGAACAAACTTGGTAGACACTCATTATAAGATGTTTCATGTCAAATATCTTAGCTCTGGCTCTTTGGGTTCTTTAAAAGAAGATTTTTTAAGTTTTTACTATATGCATATAGGGAAAATCTATGACCCCCTGGGACGGGGCCAATTTTGACTCCAGGGCTTTTATTTGAACAAACTTGGTAGACACTCACTAGAAGATGTTTCATGCCAAATATCTAAGCTCTAGCTCTTACGGTTCTTTAAAAGAAGATTTTTTAAGTTTTTACTATATGCATATAGGGAAAATCAATGACCCCCCGGGGCGGGGCCAATTTTGACCCCAGGGCTTTTATTTGAACAAACTTGGTAGACACTCACTAGAAGATATTTCATGTCAAATATCTTAGCTCTAGCTCTTTGGGTTCTTTAAAAGAAGATTTTTTAAGTTTTTACTATATGCATATAGGGAAAATCTATGACCCCCTGGGGCAGGGCCAATTTTGACCTCAGGGCTTTTATTTGAACAAACTTGGTAGACACTCATTAGAAGATGTTTCATGCTAAATATCTTAGCTCTAGCTCTTTGGGTTCTTTAAAAGAAGATTTTTTAAGTTTTTACTATATGCATATAGGGAAAATCAATGACCCCCTGGGGCGGGACCAATTTTGACCCCAGGGCTTTTATTTGAACAAACTTGGTAGACATTCACTAGAAGATGTTTCATGCTAAATATCTAAGCTCTAGCTTTGACAGTTCTTTAAAAGAAGATTTTTTAAGTTTTTACTATATGCATATAGGGAAAATCAATGACCCCCCAGGCCGGGGCCAATTTTGACCCCAGGGCTTTTATTTGAACAAACTTGGTAGACACTCACTAGAAGATGTTTCATGCCAAATATCTTAGCTCTAGCTCTTTGGGTTCTTTAAAAGAAGATTTTTTAAGTTTTTACTATATGCATATAGGGAAAATCAATGACCCCCTGGGACGGGACCAATTTTGACCCTAAGGCTTTTATTTGAACAAACTTGGTAGACACTCATTAGAAGATGTTTCATGCCAAATATATAAGCTCTAGCTCTTATGGTTTTTTAAAAGAAGATATTTAAAGTTTTTTCTTTCGGTTGCCATGGCAACCAGAGTTCTGCATGGAATGGAATTCTTTGAACAATCTTGATAGAGCTTCATACAAAGAGTATTCCTGCCAAGTTTCATTAACATTGGCCTTGCGGTATCATAGAAGATGTCCTTAGAATATTTAAAATGTGGACGGACGACAGACGACGGACGCCATTTGGTTGGCCATCCTAAAAGCTCACCTGCACTTTGTGCAAGGTGAGCTAAAAACCAAAGTACTGTGATTTTAAATCATAAAGTAATAATAGTATATGAATACTTTTTAAATGATGTCAACCATACGTATTGTCATTTAAAGTTATTTATATTCTCCCATCAACACATGTTAACTTTCGAGTACTTTTGTACTAAACGTTGTTGTGAAAGCCGTTTAATATATCTGATTTGCTCTACAGGTTATTCAGTTCAGTGCAAGTGTATAGGAATGACAATTAAACACACTTTGGTACGTAACGAATTACTATTAAATTATGAAAGGCCTTATTTCAAGGAATACTGTAAATGATACAGTATACGCACCTGCTGAAATGGTTTTAATTTTGTGAACTGTTTATAACATAACAAGATGAACATTTAAAATTATATGCAGTTAGACTCTTAAAGAGTCGGATAAGATTTCATGTGTGTATAGGATGATCTGGCAACAAACTTGTGATAAAGGCTTTTTACTTTCAGGAAAGAACTAGCAGACTGTAGGGTAAAATTAACCTAATAAACGAGGCCTTGATTCCAAATTAAACCCTTGGTGATATTTGGAATTTAGTTTGAAATTGACTGACAAAGACTATGTTAATGTTAATGTTATTAATGGATATGAACATTTCATAAAAAATCTCTTATTTTATAAAAAAATATGATATAAAAATGAATATTTATGTCATTGGGTGAACCAAGTGTCAAAATTCCTGGTAGGCAATGGACAAGATGAACAGGACAAAAATAGACAGAAAGCGTAAAATGTCGAACGGCTGTTAGTCATTTTACACAGAGAATTCGAAATTTCAACCACTTCGCTCTAAAGACATGATTTGCATGTATTGTATTTGTAAATTCCACAGGAATGGAATTAAGATTAAGCGCCAACATTAAGATTGTATAAAATTATTCTTGTTGATTTTAAATTGCGATTTAAGAGTATTCATTTTGAAGGAGATAGTTTATGGGCGGTGTTTTTTGCATAATTGACATTTTGATATTTTCCAGATGAAATCCTGCAATTGGTTTAGCCATTTCATTATTATATATTTTAAGATAAAAGGTTAAGCTAATTTCTTTAAGTACATAATTAGACATTGTTTGAAACAGACAACCGTATTATTAAAAACATTATTATTGTTTATGAAATATACGATCAATGTTTTATATAGCAAAGAATATCATATAAAATAACAAAAATGTCATTTAATTAGCTCAGTTAATAATCATGACTATCTTAATTAACATAGCATTTATAAACAATTTTCACAAATTACATTCTGCAAAAGGATAATTAATATTGTATGTGAAACAACAAGTGCTTGAAACAAAATAAGGAGACAAAATGAACTGTAAAGCTGTTACAAATTCATTGCATTACATGTGTTTATACCATTTTACCATTCATTTCGTTGAAATGCGTACTATTTTTTCACGATTTTTTTGTTATCATTTAATATTTACTATGCTTTTAAATTTATTTAAGTAAATGCATAATTATATCAAAGTTCTGGCAAAAGTGAGATAAAAGATTACAAAACAATATATATGTTTTGTTATATCAACAGTTGCCTTCAACAGATTCCTCCTTATAAATAAGATTACGTATCATGTTATGATCTTGAATAAAAAAGCATCTAAATACTTTTGTACGATAATCCAATGTTTTTGGCTCAAATTAACCACAACATATGATTTTATGTCTGCGATATTTGTAAGGCATTCACTGACGTCTGTCAGATATTATACCCAGAGATTGTTCGCCATTATAAAAGAGCCTCATGATGCAGAAATTCCAATATTGGAAAAGTCAGCTGATGGTTGAAAACAGATAATAGAGCTATTTGTTAAATCCAGAGGACGCATGAAAAATAGGGACTAATCATATATAACGTTTAGCTCTAAGGATTTATTAAACTTAATAAATAAGGAATAATGGCAAAAAATCAGGGATTAAAAAGAATAAAAACAAGGTGTCACGGGCGTTTAAATTAAGAGCTGGATTAAAAAAAATCAATCAATATATTCGATAGAAACCTGGATATAGCGGTGAAATGTAACATACTTCAAATTTTACCATATCTGCATCATTATATTTTGAAATTCATTTTAAATTTCTGTGGAATGATATATTTGCAACCTTTGTGGATCACATCAATGCTATAAAAACCCAGAAATAATGGGTTGTGCAAACTCTTTACAATATAAGAAATATCCATCGAAACACATCAGTCCAAACAAAGATCCCATAAAATCACGGATAATATTTACATTGAAATGTCCGAGAGTTTTACCTCCATTAGAAATAAAAACGGTTCAGCAAACTTGGCCTTCGTTGGCGAAAGACTTACACGGTAACGGACTTCAGATTTTTCTGAGAATATTTGAAATATGTCCGGAAATCAAGTTCCTGTTCCATGTTGAAAACGTTCGACATTCACAACTTGCAAGAAATGACACCATCAAGGCGCATGGTAAACGTTTTATTAATGCCATTGGTTTTGCAGTGGAAAATTTAGAGGATATCGAACAAGAAGACAACAAATTGTGTAAATTTCTGTTTAACCTTGGAAAGCAGCACCAGAATTTTCAGGCATTTAAACCGGAATATTTTGAAATATTTTATGAAGCGTTAATGTGTCAATGGGAACGCTGTATGGGTGATCGGTTCACGACGGAAGTGGCAAATGCATGGAGTCATTTGTTTGTGTTCTTAATGGAAAAGTTAAAAGAGGGATATTCTTCACACGAAGTGTCATTTTGAAGCTCATTTGAAAAATAAGAATGATAACAATTGACCAATTTACATTGTTGTAAATCAAATTCTGTGATAATAATGATAAACCATTTGCATGTACAAGTTTATTTATAATTCAACTCCTGAAATGTAAGTTTATGAGTGTTTTTAAGTTGACTTTAACTTTAAAGAGATTTATTTTAAGGAGAAAGATGACTTGCTCGTTTCAAATTAAAGCTTTGCTGTTTATGGTTATATTTACGTGTATATGTATTGGTGTTTTCAAATAAATGTAAACTACGAACTTTTGATATATCGTTCGATCTTTCTAGATTACCTATTTTTATTCAATTGTAAAAGTTGCTTTCGTTCGCCAAAGATAAATGATAACTGATAAATGCATATATCAAAGTCATCAATTTTTTAAGTTGTGGCATATTTCTATAATAATTCATGTGCATTAATTATCGTATGTCTTTCTTATCGGTTATGTGTTTGAATATATTTTGAACATGAGGCTCAATAAAGTGTCGTGTAAGATAAAGTCATCAGTGGTAACATCTTTTTGAAATGTTTGTTTTTTTATTCAACAAGTCTATATTCATCATTCACACGTCATGATTACGACTTGTTTTATTTTATATGGTTATTTTAGCCTTAATCAGCCATCTAAATATTCTCACTTTATCTGGAAATGAATTATATTTAGTGAGTACTAATTTTTCATGTTTTCGTCATTTGGACTCTTCTGTCAAAAAGTATTGTTAAATTATTTTGCTTTTAAAAAAACTGAATTCTGATATACAGAGACAAAGGCAATTACAGCTTTTAGAGAGAAACCTTAACCGTCAATTTCATTACTAAAAAGAAACAATTTAATTAAAAGACAACTAGACAAATAATCGAATGAAAATAAATCATTTAATTTTAATACATTTGACCTGACTTTCCAAAGTGCTTAGATTGCTCAACTTTCTTGTTATAAGCAGGAAATAATTTGATTCAATATATCTCATAAAATGCAAAAATACATTATCACAAAAGGCAAAAACAAGAATCCTTTTAAAGACAGATGTCCCATTCTATTACTTTAAATGTTTTTCATACGCACGCACGGCAGGTTTTTAGTTGATCAGGCATTCAACTCAAAAACGCAATATTATCTTTATATTACTCAAATCTAAACACATTGCTTGGTTTGGTGATTCATGTCTCCAGTACAAGAGAATGATAGACAATAAAGTTGTTTAATCGGCAATTGGGAATGCCTCACTTGCATGGATTTTACTTTTGATTACGCCCAGGAATTTCAATATTGCGTGTGGGATAGGTCATAGGCAATTTATATTTTAATTTGATTGTCTTTAAGCATATTGTATATATTTGACGGATTATATTCTTAATTTGTTTTGAAAAGATTTGGTTAAAACATGCAAATATTTTAACATCACTGATTAAAATACAAACAAAGTCGATAGCCTTCAATTCGTATGGAACTCGTTTATAAATGTCAGACGACTAACGCTTAAATCTGGAGGACAATTTAAATATTTCACCTTTGTCGTCAAATATTTTCTATCATTAAGGAGATTAAAAAACGTTTATTTTCAATAACGTTATTTGCATTAGGCTAGCATGTTTTTGTACGCAATTTTTATTTCCTTTATAAACATATAAATCAGACAATTTTCTTCTAACAATATGATATGTAAGAGATTGCATTTAAGTCATAGTTTGTGAACATCTTTTTATCACAGTTATTATCTTAATAAATAGGTTCAGTGCTTTCAGCTTTTTATCGTGACACACAGAAACGTACAAATGAAAATTCAACAACACATAAAAAGTTCATTGTCATTTGATTGTTTAGATATAAATCTTTAAGAAAAATATATTGTTAAACAAGATGAGTGATTTGTTTTTGTTTGTATACAATTTATAAATGGTGGTCGATATTAGGCCTATACAATCCCATATTTATATATGAATGTTTTGTCTGTAGTTTACAAAATGGTTATACAAAAGTGAAATTCATTGAAATTTAGTATTTGGAAAGATGACAGTTACTCATATGTCATGATTACTCTTTTAGTCAAAATGCTAGGTATGTTATGTAAACAGAATATTTCCGGTTATGATATTCAGATTGCAATTGAAATTAATCGCCAATATTAAGGTTGTATCATATTTTCTATTTTACATAACAGACTGAAAGCGTTTTATTAGCTTATCAGTTTTAAATATATAACCATAAAAATGTTACCTTTTAAACGGGCGTCATAATTTTCCATGCAATTTTCACGCAGAAACATGTTTTGTTATTGAACATATGTCTTAATATATTCTATTGGATTATCGTTCACAACTGCTTTTTTAGAGAATGATAGACAATAAAATTCTTCTCTCAGCAATAATGTATTCAGCTCTGACATTGCTATTGCAATTGATATCGTTATCAATGTGAATATAGGAATATAATATTGCGTGATGGATATATTATGGTTATTTTTGTCCAGTACAAAGTCATACAAAAATGTAAGACGTCTTTAAATCTTACTTAACATTTAACTAGTGTCAAACGACTAACGATTTAAACTTTTACGGCTGATATTTATATTTAAAAAAATGTGACCAGTACCGTCAAAAATCTTCTTTTCCAATGCGTATTCTTTTAAAAAAGAAACGTATTTTTTTGCAATAATTATATTGTAAAATTGATTGTGCTGTTTTATTCATTTTTATTATTTTGTAGGAAATTTGACATTTTTTTAAGGTATGTGCTTTAGTTAAATCAGACATGGCTTTTATGTAATGCTTGAACTTCTTTTCACAGATATGCAGGACATTTCATATATCTAATAGTTTCATGATCCTCTCTTTTATTTATTTTTCATGACTGATTTTGTTTTTGTTCAAGCAAGTTACTTATTAATGATTGGAATAAACACAAATTTAAGGCCATTTAATTTATCATTCTAGTTATTCTCTAGTAAAAAGCAATTCCAATATAAAGAAACTCAGTATGTTAGTTATTGCGTATTTTGGCGCCAAACACTCTAAAAATGCTGTAATCGCATTGTTACCGGTATTGCCATTTATATTGAAGTTAAAAAATTCCGGCAACATTACGGTTGTACGATATTTATTATTTTGGATAAAACCTGTAAAATCGCTTTATTTCAATATACATTTTAAATGCAATGCCACAAAATGCAAAATCAAGAAACCTTTCCAAATAAAGACGTCGAAAATTCTGTCACACAATATAAGTCATTTGTTGACATGCGCATGCATCTCATTTTTCAGCTGATTATTATTCAACTAGCCAAACTATATATTTTGTTATTGTACATAAATTTTAATTCAATTTACTGGATGATGAGTCACATCAACATATGTAGAAATAGATAGTAATGGTAGACCATAAAACCGATTAATTGGCAGTAGGAATTGGTATTGCTTTTGTTGAGATAGCAGGATTTTAAATATCCATTGAGGGATATATTACGCCGTTTCTTCTTTTTTTCTGTTAACATGAGTGTGTTCAGTACTTTAAGCATTTCAAAGTTCAACAAAATATAGATAATTGACAGCTTATTGTTTCTTATTTGTGTCGGAAGGATTTAGTTCAAATAATTATATATATTCGAACATCTTCACAGACAACTACATTGTTATATTTATCTTTATTTATAAAGATCGTACACCCACAACTAATATAGACTAATTTTACAAATATTAAATGACTAAAGCTTTATCCGTAAGGCAAATGTCATTATAGAACATTTGTCTTTTACTGTCCACGATCTACTTTGGTTTAGGAGATTTCAATACCATAGAACGAAGTAAAATTCACCGCACATATACAGAATGCATAATGTTTGTTTTTGGTTAAGGTTGCAGACTGAAGTGTGTTATTTACATGTCCATTTAAAATACATTACTACATTTAAAAAAAATCCTGAAACCTTTTAAAATGGACGTGAAATTGTGTTATGCAATATATAAAGTCTGTTGTCATGCACAATGACACACACGGAGTTCAGTTGCATTAGTATTCCACCGACACACGCAATATTGTCGACATTTTACATAAATCTAAATACATTTTATTGGATGATTATTTACGTCTGCATATCGAGAGAATGGCAGACAATAAAATTGTTTTATCGACAATTGTTAATTCAGCGGAAGGATTGCATTTGCCTTTGCTTACGTATTAAATGTGAATACCGGACTTGAACTAAATAAATCTTGAGGAACAGATTATGGTTCCCTTAGTTTACGTTTAGCATGAGAATATTCAGTACCTTAAGGGACACACAATGCAGGATAATGTTTGTATTTTTCCTTATTTGTTTTGAAAGAATTCGTATCAAATAAAACACACACTTAAACATCAACACTGGAAAAAATACTTAAACATAACAACAAAGTCGAAGGCCCTTTAGCCGATATATACCTCTTCGGACAGTGTCAAACGACTTACGCGAAAGCCTTCTTGTTCATTGATTCCAACACTTTTTTGTGTTGAAAATTGAGTACCGCTCAAGTCGGTGTTAATGGGCGTGAGGAATGTTGCATTTTATCATTATCCCTCATATACAGACTCCTGCAGTTTTCGTGTAATTTTATTGTGATTAATGCTTCTGACAGATCACACTTTACATACAGATTATTTACCGGTCTCTTAATTAAAAGAATGTTTGCATTTGTCGTCCATGTCAAATATTTTTAGAATTATATTCTAACCTCAAGGGATTTTAATACTGCTCACATGTTTTATTGCATTTACATTTAGTTGTATTTCTATGTTGGCTGAAGTAGTGATGCAATTTAACTATTGCTTTGTCAAAACGATCGTCTTTAATTGCTACATGTAAAAGAAGCTCGAGGTCATCCGTATTTTACTGATTATCTTAATAAGTATTATTTAACAGTATTGTTAAGTTTCTGGAAGTGTTGATTGTTGAAATTGTCCAGGCAGTTTCCAACTTTTTTTAAATAAAAACATGTCTAGGATTATG